TCACAATTTACAAGCACATATCTCAACAACAACATTCTAACAGTTACATATCCTCAACAACAAGCTTAATATTCATCAAATACAATCTCCACGACTACAACCTGCTTAAAACCAGCCCAACCTAACAGTTCACAATTCACATAGCACATATCTTAATAGCAACACTCTAACAATTACATATCCTCAACAACAAGCTCAATATTCACCAATCAAAGTTCCACAGAAAGGCACTCACAAGATCAGCAAAACACAATATCAAGTTCAATGATGATAAATATATGCAATGTCAAGTATAGTGATGCATGTCTGACCTAGTGATACACACCCGCTGTCTCTCAGTCCAGGACCCATGGGGGACATATTTGTCCATGCATCCATTGCGGCGCGCGATACGTCCCTCGATATATAGTATCCATCGCGGCGCGCGATACGTCCCTCGAAATATAGTATCCATCGCGGCGCGCGATACATCCCTCGAAATGGTACATCCTCTTATCACATAACACTTATCACAACCATATCTCAGAATCAATGCAAATGACATGTTCACACAAATAATGATGAGATGACCATTTTCATAACAATACACAATTCACAACAATGCAACAGTGATACACCATCAACAATGATTCAACAAGCCTTTCAACCCAGTCTCAAACATCACACATCAACAATTAAATACATTGCCTTTTATTACCCCTTTTTCATCATTAGAAAATAATCAATATGTACAAGTCAACCCATCCAAGTCTCATTACCCCCAAACACATATCACAGGGAAATACATGAATTTCATACAGTTAACAAGGGTTTAGAAATCCACTTGCCTCAATCAATAAAGAATTCACTCCGAGACTTGAGTCTTCTCCTTTCGTTGAACTTCCAACTAAAAGCAATCTATTTAAATAAAGGATCATAATAAGGTTTCAAAACTAATAACATCTATAGCACTACAGATCTAGTCTAGACCTAAAAACTCGTACCCAATCTATAAATCTAAACCCATAAAGGCAAACCTGGGAATTTATTAAAATCAGTTGACCCATATATACGTAGAGTCTAAATAAGTTTTAAGTTTTTGCTACACACTAATTAACCAAGCCTTTAATGAACTGACATTGTAACTTAAAATTTATAAAAATCTCTTTCTATGAATTTGCGTATTATACTTTAAGAGTAATAACATATAACTCAGCTACTCCATATTAACTTGGATCAAGCAGAATCAGACACTAAATTCTCTTTATTTTAGAGGCTAAGCCATCCTTAAGGAAACAACAATTAAGCATAAAAGAAATGGGTATAAAAATATATCAACAGAGAAGAGAATTTCTGTAAAGTCTTAATAATATTTTGTTTCCTCAAACTTGTTCCCCTTAACTTTAATTCATAGATGCTATATTATATCACTAAATTCCTAATCATATGCTCATAATTACACCGTCATTATGCCCATTATTGTCCAATAACACTAGTCCTCAACAAATTGATTTTTTTCTTCCTCTTCCTTTATCCATTTATTATATACGGCAACAGTTATTGAAAGTATAGGTATAATACATATTAAAGGTTGAAGCTTAAAGGGGCTATATTACCTGGTGGTAGATCTCGTGCCAATGGCGCAACAGGTAAAGCATCTCGACCTAGTTTTTCTTTTCTTTTCAAAAATAATTATGTATTAAAACTAATAAACCCTACTAACTTATTTCTAATACATGGGGCAAATGGCATAGGGTTTTAAATAAGGGAAAATTGTATATAATAACAAACTATTAATTCAAATTAAATGCTATAAATATAGTTTGATTTAATTGTACCTCATAGCAAATTCTTGCTATTTCACCTCTCTCCTAGTGAATCTCGCTCGCCACTCTCATTCTCTCCCTGGCCTCTCTCGTTTTTTATACAAACGCAAGTGTATAAAGTGCGTTTGTGTTTGTATAAAG